GTTGTTCTGGATGTTAACTGCTTGTTACATTTCTTTGAGAAAATACAGAGTGCACAGATTATCTGATGACTATTCCTGGGTGTTGTCAGTATGTTGGAATTTTCACTTTTCTATTAAAAACAAAGCAAACCAAAAAGAAGAAGGATCAGAACACCTTAGACATGGCATACCTAAACTCTTTTGCCACTTAAGACAATGACATTTTATAGGTTGGAAAGAGAGGAGTAACAGAACTGAAGCTAATGCACAACCCTCAGGATTTTTTTTCGTGAAGTGAGCCAAGAGGAAATGACTTCAAATTGTGCCAGGGGAGGTTTAGATTGGATATTAGGAAAAATGTCTTCACTGAAAGGGCTGTCAGGCATTGAAACAGGCTGCCCAGGGAAGTGGTTGAGTCACCATCCCTGAAGGTATTTAAAAGACATGGAGATGTGGTGCTTAGAGAAATGGTTTAGTGGTGGACTTGGCAGTGCTAGGTTAATGGTTGGACTTGATGATCTTAAAGGTCTTTTTCAGCCTAAATGATTCTATGATAATATACAGGAAACAGTGATCCACAGTAGTTGTACTGAAATGTAAAAGTACATTTATTCGTTGTTTATAATATCAACCAAACACAGAGGACAAAAAGCAGTAGTTTCATGCTTTGCACTTTGATATCTTCAAGAAGTGTAGAGACCTAGAAGAAAAAAGGAAGTTTAGACTGTGAGATTAAGAGTGAGTGTAGGCTTCCTGAAGATGAAAGAAAATTTTCAATATATCCCAATCCTTCAGGGGTCCTACCCTGGCTGGTAAAGCACCTGGGAATAGCATGTACACTCCTGAAAGGATGTGCAAGACTTTTAAATGATGAGGGGATGCAGCTATCCCATAAATATCAATGAACAAGGAGGTAGAGAAGTGTATCACCTATATGAGAGAATGAGTAATGCATAGGAAGGGCCCAGCAATCTAGGCCAATCTCGGGAATGTGACAGAGCACAAAGTACAGCTCCTCTATATGAAGGGATACTGTGTGGAAAATGTTGACTGCAATAATGGCACTTTAAACTCTATGTTTGTATCAGCATGGAGTGTGGGTTGGTGGGATCAAAGCAGCACCTAACAGTGTCATCAGATTCAAATCCACAAAGATGGGTTTGTACGTGGAAGGAAACTGAGATTCAATTTTGAAACTGTCTTCTCATGTAATTCTTTTTCGTTTTTTTGTTTCTGTTGGTTGGTCAGTAACTTACTTGAAAGAATCCTGAGTATAAGCATTTCCTACTCTTACAGGAATTACAATACACTGAAGCACTATTTGAAGAGAACATGCCATACTGAGTTTGCAGCCTTTTGAAGTAGGGACTATGCACTCTTCTCATCCATCTCAAACAGATCTGCAATTTATTTCTTTATGATTAGTTGCAGTGGTTATAAATTTGGGCTTTCTATTTGCCTTACTGTGCAATACCACAAAACAGTTTTGTTCACAACAGTCTATATTTACACACCTTATGTTTGCTCAGCACTATAAAGCAACAACATGAAAACAAGCAGCTATAGCATTTATTGCACTCTCCAGGTGATTAAAGTCCATCAGCTTTTGGCCTCAAGCCATAACGTAACTGGTTACCTTCAGAAAGAGCCACCCCAAATGCACAGGTTATCATCATATCGTGATGGCTGATGATCCAGTGACATGAGTGTGGTGCACAGCTAAGACCATAGCAGATGTCAGTGGAAAAACAGAAGAGTGCACAGAAATTTTAGCTGAACAGTGTTGAAAAGCATAAAAAGCTGGGTGGATTTTTTACAGTTACTCTGTCTCACTCCTTTCTGTTTCACGATACAAGACCATTATCCAGACAAATAAATAAGCTCCAAAAATGCATATAATTAAGCAGTATAGTTGAAAGAATGATGATAGGAAATCTCTCTCCCCTGCTCTGTTAACTAGCAATGCCAATACGTGACTAAAAAACAATGCAATCTGATTTAATATTATTAAAACAGAGAGGATAATATGCTTAGTTTTCATAGAATCATAGAATGGTTTGGGTTGGAAGGGACCTTTGACATCCAACCCCCCTACAATGAGCAGGGACATCTTCAACTAGATCAGGTTGCTCAGAGCCTCATCCAACCTGACCTTGAATGTTTCCAGGGATGGGGCATCTACAGCTGTTTACTACTACTACATGATATAGTAAGAAGTTTTAAAGGCGTGTGTATATAATCCTCCACCCAGAACTATCCAATAAATAAAACAGCTTACCTATAAAACATTGTTGCAATGAAATAGCCATTGATTGGAAAGTTAAAAACCAATCTAATTAAAACATTTTTAAATTGCATCCTCAAAACTTGTAAGTTCTATTTAATAAACTGTTGTTGCCCTCTAGTGTTCAAACACAGCTTGTAAATGCCTCTCCAGAAAGATCCAGACTGGTCACCTAACGATTCCGTTTGCTCTTAATCCAACAAGACCAATGGATGGGGGAAAAAAAAGTGTGTCAGTACACCTGCCTAGAACCTACTTGCCTTTGCTCAAGCATAAAAAAGGGCTTTTAATGTAAAAACTTTTAAAGTCATTTGTTTCAGTCAAAAAATTGTGAAAGGCCACTCAGTTTACCATCCTTACCAAATTAGTCATGGTACCTGTGCCCCTCTCTGCTTTACTTCTGCCACTCCCTGTGCTTGATATACGTTGCTGTTTAGGTTGGAGGGCAATGTTTCTAATGGTACTAGCCAAATACACACCAGTGCTCTGAATGGCTCTGAGATATGTCTGCCTGCCTTCTCTCAAACCTGTTTCTACTGTACTGTACCACATCAATTAATACCAAACATCTCTCCGTCCAACAAATTAGTTATTACAGCAGATAGGCACAGTGAGGATTCAGGGGTTGTTCTCAGTACCTGTCCTGCAGCGAGCTGCCGTGATGGCATCAGCAAGGTAGAAAGCTGCTCATAAAGTTGTAGTTCTGAGAGAAAATTACAGTCAACCTCAGATCTGCACCTGCATTTTTACAGCCCACAACTGGGCCTAGTGCTTATAATTTTATTAACTCATTTCCCAGAAATATTGTTCCCCCTTGTCATGTTCCTTGACTACAAACCTTTGAAAATAGCTATTTAAAAAAAAAAAACACCACCAAAAAAACTTAAGGTTAAACAAAGTGCAGTCAACAGACAAGCTGATGGAACTTGAGATACTTTTCTTTTGTAAATTTGTTCACTTTTAAGAGGTTATCCAGAATGCTTTTCATTTAAGCATTGTCAGACTTAAACAGTGTAGAAAACCAGCTGGTTTTGTATCTATAAAGCAATTTGCAGCCCACCCCCATATAATAAGAATTCAACTTCTTGACATCAGGAGCACTGACTTTTCTTTGATCTTTGAATAATGGAATTTTCAGAGAATTTTCTGTATAAAGTTATTGTTAGAGCTCTCACAAAACTTGCCTTGAGGCCATTTTTGGATCACGCCTGCTTCCCACTGCACTAAGCCTGACAGATCTAAGAACCCCTTGGACATGAGTCACGTTTCATATTTTGTAATAGAATTCTTTTCTTGTATTCATGAGACACCCTTCCTTCTCTGTCTTGATGTTTGCTGTTGATTATGCTGCCCGCCACGTGGTCTCACTTTGAAATGAAGTCTTCCATTCTAAAAACAGGTTTAGACTGGGTATGCATGAAACGAAATGTGAATAATACAAACTGGAAGTTTTGTAGCAAACAGTAGATGCTCATATGTATTCTCACTCATCTCTTGTTGCAGAGGCGGGGAAACATATGGAGCAGCTACGCTTATTACCTATCACATGAAGGTGACCCTAGAAGTGCAGCGGGTGTGCTTGGAGAGCCGGTAAGAGCTCTGTGTGGACAGGAGGGACAGCAAGCCCAGCACCGTTGCAAGCAGCTCTTTCGGGAGCCATCAGCCTGGTGAGGGAAGTAGAATGCCAGAAGCACGAAGATAATGCAACCTTGTTCATCCGCTCCCGCTAGGAAACTTCCTCGAGGTTGGCACCCTCCTACAACATAGCCACCGTTTTCCTTTAAATCTTTTTCACCTCCCCTTAGATGTTCAGCAAACGGAGACCACACCTTTCTGTGTCTTCTGCCAATAATATAGCTGTTGTCTTTGCTAAGCCCCCTCACAAGTTTCTGCCTGCTCTGCGATGAGGTGTTGAGTCTCAACTGTCAGGGATTTAAGCGTATTAGAACAGATTCTCTCTCATGCATGTGCCAAGTCACTTGGTCATGCCTTTTGCCACAAAGACCTTGACTGCGGCTTGCTTCACTTGGATACGATAAAACCCCTTTCTCTCTGATACATCCCGCAAAAAAACCAATGTGCTACAGGTGGTGAGCTCCTTGGAAAGGGCAAACTCACATTTGCAGCATGCGATTTTAAAGATAGCTTGTGATGTATGCAGAAAAAAACATTGAAGATACATATATATCCATAAACTATATATAACTAAGGAAAATTAAGCCAACTATGTTATGTGTACTACAATTTTTACTGTTTGCACCTAAAACCATTTGGATGCAAAGCTCTACTACTAAGCATTCCTTTAAGGCTACAGATAGAGTGAATAGGATTGCCAGACAATCATGTAACACTAGGGCATTTGGGTGCAAATAGCATTGAAAACAGTCAGGTGCTGCACAGGTACTCAATTTATTAGGTGTACTTCTATTCCACTAATCTTGTCACAGTACAGATTAAACTCTTCAAATGCTTTTTCTCCTTTAATATAAGACCTTCTTAGTTTAACTTGGATTTTAGAGTTTATTTCCTGGATTTAGTAATAAATCAAAAATGATAGACATTACAGTTCAGTGTAGAGAAAGCAGTTCTCTTCCTCACCAAAGCCATCTGTCACTTCCCCATTAGTGGCCAAAAAAAGAATCCATCCTCTTCTGAGATTTCAGTATCTACTGTTCTGTTTCAGAGTTGTCCTCTCAAAGATGAGAGATGCTCCTCACAATCTTGTTCCCTCTCTCCATCATACATCAGCATACATTCCATTGATCAAGTAATCCAGCCTGGTATAATGCCTCTTCTGAAGAGATTCATGTATTTTCTTCCCGGTCAGTGCAATAACTAGCAACAAGAGTATCACCCCAAAAAGCAAAGCTGCTACGAGGCTGCTTTTTTCTGCCAGCTGAATGACACCTTTCTCTCTCAGAACACTCTCTGGCAGATAGCTTTCTGAATCAGAGGAGTCATAACCCTGAAGGTCATTTTGGGAAGCCGTGGGGGAATCACTAGTAGACAGAATGAAACCTGAAAAAGAGAGAAGAGTAACATGGCTGGTATCGTTGGAAGAGGCAACTGTTGACTCAGGAGGGATGGCTGGAGTTCTTAGTTCTGATGGGGCGGTAGCAGATCTGGAATTTGTTGTCACTTGTTTGGTTGTAGAAGAAGAAGTTGTGGAACTGGAAAGAAGAACATGAGTAACAGTGATGCTGGGAGCAGGGATACCAGGTTTAGCTCTAGTAGTCACAGTAGGCAGAAAGGTAGCTGTGGTGGTGGTGGCAATAGTAGGTTTAGCACCAGCAGGGTGCAGAGAGGTTGTATGAGATTCCAGTCGGGTGGTACTTGTAGGCAGGGTAGTAAGAGTAGTAGTGTTGGGTTCAGGAACACTAGACTGAGTGGTGGGGAATGAAACAGAAGGGTTTCCAGTGTGAACAGCAGAAGACGTATTTGGTGGCAGGTTAATTACTTTCTGCCTTGGGATGGTGTCTACGCTCTCAGGATGTTTTGCCCTTTGAGATTCAGGGAAAAAAGTATGAAATTCAGTGTTGTCTAAATGCTTGGCCATGTGGTTCTGGAGTTCAGATGTCTGATGAAAAACAGATTGTTGCAAAGCAGCGGTACCACTCTCATGGCTAGTCTGACTGCGAGAAATAAAGGCTCCAGCATCGGAAGGCAAAGAATTTCCATTTGAAGAAAAGTTCTCACTTTTGAAGGATGTATCCTCCAGGGCATGGGTGTCTGGAAACAGAAAGGAAATACCAGTATTTAATTATTAAATCTATTTTTGACTACCACTCTAACAATTTGTATTTCTTGGTAAGAGAGATATAAGGGGGCTCCAGAAAGTAATGACTAATGAAACTGAAGCATCAAGATCTTCCTTTACAATACGCAGAGTGACTTTTAAATTCTGCCTGTGTCATAAGACCTGTCAGCCTCGAGCCCAGGCACACCTGAACCCTGACTGCAGCTTCTTTAGAATTCACCTGTGCAGAGCGATCATCCCAATCTGATTGATTTATACTCATATTGCATCCGTGTAAGCGTTTATTTACAGGTGAAAAGCAGAGTGCGTAGGTCCATTGCCTTCAAACCATTCTCAGCCTCTGTCAGGCTGTTAAGAAGTAGATATTAGCAACCTCACTTTTATTTGTCAGATGCACACATTTCCACCTAGCCGAGATGATTATATACTCCCCTTTCTTGTAATATCCAAGCACCCTGTGACTGCTTGACATAATTCAGTTCACATACAGCAACTGTCTTATGATACAAGGTGGCAGTAACATCCCCATTTTATAGGCCATTTTATACACATACTGATTTGTAGGAAAGACCTGAGCTCCTACTGCATTGCTGTAGGCCTGCCATGTCTTTCTTCCGAAAGACACTGCTCCAAGAGTCTCCAAGGTATTTGCAGTGAAGGCCTCCACAAGGAGCAGACTACACTTTATTTCTCCAGAAGTCGATATGTATTCCTTGCAAAACAGGTAAGTGAACGTCATTTAATAGAATTTGGAAGCAGGGCAACCATTTCTGTTATGTGACAGAAAGTCCATACAAATGATAATCCTAGCAGCTACCTAATTCTACATAGGTATTATTGAGAGAATTAGGGTGAGCATGAGTTCTTGGAAAGACTGGCTAACTGTTATGATTCAGATTTTTATATATATGTATTTCTTTATTATATTTATAATTATTATGTATATATTCTCATTCAGCTGCTGCACAGAACATTTAAAAGGGAACGTGCTCACAAGTAGTTCTGACTGTCACTCATGTATTTTTTATAGAAACAAAGAGGTTTGTTAACTGCACTGGGATTGAAATAAATAACAGAAAGTCCATGACATTTTCATTGTCACTTTTTTCTCAAGTAGGAACTCTTATCTAGAGGGATGGATTTATTTCAATTTTATTATACATACAAAGAAGCCTAGTTGGCTGCTGTCTTAGTATGTATTTCCAAGCCTCAAGACTCCACAAAAAAATGAAGTGCAAAAAAACCCACCAAAAACAACAAACCAAAAACCTGGCAATGCTTTAAACAAGAGTACAGCAACGACTTCCCTTGAACCACAGACACCAATTTTAATCCTACCCTTCCAGTCAGGCACCAGCCTGTTACCAAAGTAAGCTCCTATATAGAGATTACGGACTCCAACCTCAAGGCCTGACTTAGAGAAAAGCCATAGTCTGTTTTCAGAGAATGGCTTTAAAATAGCAAAATGTTCAGTTATTTCGGAATCAGAAACTGTATGGCCAGAGAAGCCCAAACTCTTGGCTGCTTCTGCAGCTCTGGACACATTTCCACACCCGTGAGGAAACGGCCTGTCACCACCACGGAGTTCATCCCCAACTCACTTTGTCCCTGTTCCCGATACAGTCCCACGGACGCTCCCCCCCGTGCGCTTAAACAAAGAGCGGACGTGGCGTGACAGCTACAAAGCGCTTGCAGCAGCCTGCGTCACCCCCCGCGCGCTCACCTGGGCAGCAGCCAGCGAAGCACGGAGCATTCACCCGGCGTTCAAAGGCCGGGCGGAGGGAGCACCAGGAGGGTATGTAAGTACCGCTGCTACTCTGTAGCGCTCGGGTTAATTAACTGCCTGCGCTAACTAACTCCACTTCCCATTGTCAGCATCAAACATTGACTGGATAGTATTCTTTGCCTCCATTTTAGACTACAGGCTCCCAAATGCAATTGCCCAAAACTGTCACATGCAAGGTACAGCTGGGGTACTAGGATATATAACGCTGGCTGGTAAGAAAGAGTAGGGGCACTGCACAAGTCAACCTTTAAAAAGAGATTAAAAAACCAAAGCGGTCCTGTTGATGTCTCAAATCCAGTAAGCTGCATTAGAAACCAAACTTCAGGTTGTCACTCTTGAAAAACAAACTAAACACTTCCTGAGCATACTTTGTTAGAACCCATCAGTCTCGCCTGGGTGTCTTACTGGGGTGGAAAAGGCAAATGCCACAAAAGTACTGGAAGAGCAGGAATTGGGAATGTTACTTCTTTTTCAGCAATAGCTCTTTGCAGTTAAGGACCAGGAAATGTTTTACTTCCCAAGCCATACATTGTTTCCATTAGTTAGCACTCACATGAATAGTTAAAAAAAGAAAAACCAAAATTTAATTACTAACATAGCATTAGTATTTTAAGTTGCTTTATTACCAGTAAAGTGTCTTTCCCCCTTTTAGTTTGGTTTTCAGTGTAACTTATGCAGATTCCCATGTGAAAAAAATGATGCTTGAAATATTTTTAAGTACCAACACTGCTCAGGTGTTTTCCTTGGTGCTACCTTTGAAAACTTACTAGGAACATAAGGTAAATAAGATAGCATAATCTTTCCATAATTCAATGGTCACAGAAGCTAAAAAATGCAAAATGAAAAATAGATGGTATATGCAATCAAGTTGTAAACTGAGCATTACACTACATGCAGGATGAAAGCAGAAGCAGGATTACATGTCTTGTTTCTTTGCATCCCCTATATTCTTCTAGGTAAGAAAGCACTGGAGAAAAGAGTAGTGGTAATGATAATTTTACAGGCATGCAATTCATTTTTTGCACACTGCTTATGCCTAATTCCTGTGTAATTGTGCCTGCACAAAAATATTTGGTAACATTATGTGAATAATGTTTCTACATATCCTGTTGTCACTCCTTGCATAGTTCCTCCCAGAAAAGTTCTTGTTTTCAGTAAAAGTTCAGCCTCTGGAAATAGGAATTTTCTGCTTTCTCAAGCAGCCACACTGAAACCACCTTAAGAACTCTTGGCAGGAGGACAATCTAATTATGAGTTTCTTATCTGAGTCGTTCAAACAGGTCTGGTGCAAGTCAACGTCAGTCAACTTGCTATTAAAAATCCCACAGCATAAGACAGATAGTGAAAGATTTCTGATCGTGCAGCCCACATGCCATAAAGCTTTGAGCGTAGTCCTTTTGCACCTGCACTTCAGGTTCCCTAACTGAAAGCAGAAAATAATGATTACTATTGCCAATTACTCCGTAACATCACAGAGGTGCTCTGAGGCTTGCCCAAAATTTGCTTGGTGTTTCTGCTTGTGTGTATATAGTATTCATCAGCATAGCATGGATCCTTTGAATATGCACGTGGCTACAAGGGCATTGTATATCCATTGCTTTCAGCGATACTCTTCAGCGTTGCATACAGCAAATTTTCCTTCTTGAACACACCAAGATGGAAGCAGCTTCCTTTTGTTTTAAGCAAGGGAAAATTACGAGGATTTCTGAATCTAATGTGAAGGAATTTCTTAAGGGCCGGGATGTTATTCCAGCTGGGCCCATGGAGGACCTCACCACACACTTGCCCGTCCATCTCCCACAAAGCAAAAAAGCAGCATTTTCAAATTACAGTGCTTAACTTAGAGCATTTTACTAAGTATGCACCCCCTAAACATTTTCTGGTCACTACTGAAAAGTCACAGGTGCAAAAATCAACTAGTGTGGGGATCAGCAGCTTTTCCTATTATTTACCTCTAGCTATCTTGTAGCTCACAAATGTTGTCGCAGGTTTCATCGGACAAGCGTCTGTGCTAGGGCAGTAAAACAGGTAGCAGTTTGGATGTGTGCTTGTCCTTCGAGCATCAAAAACCATGAAATTACACTTCTTGTCTCCTGCAAAACATGACATATACATATTTCAGCAATAAGAACTCTTATACCACCTTGATAATAAGCTCTGGTCTGATAAATTAGTTTTTTCTCGTGTAAGAGGAAAACTACTAATATATAGCATTCCTACAGGAAAAACAGCCCATGACTGCAAAAGAATGGCCATGGGCCAGTACATGAAAGGTCACACCTTCCTCTTCCTGTACAAATGAACTTGGGGAAATAATGAGTCTAATCCCTCATCCTCCCCTCATGCATACCACACTGGCACCGCTTCATACAATAATTTCTCACTTACAAATCCTCATACATCTGAAAACCTCCTTGATATACTGATGGGGAAGCAAAGGATTTATACACTTTTCCCCATCGCATCCCAGGAATCGCTTGGGTTGTTGCTGCTTGGGAGGTCGCCTTTAACACTGTCATTCCTACTTGCTGCTCACCCTCCCGCTGCTCTGAGAGCTTGAAGCAAACCAGTCTCGGAGAAGGGCAAGCACTCTCATTTTTGGCTAAAATTAAACGTAGCACAAAATGTGAGTTACCTTACAGCACGCCTATTAAATACAGCTTATGCATCTTGGAGTTTGGGCGCCTGAGAGGTTTTAACACTTAAAACTACTGCTCTTTCTCTGCTGCAGCTCTTTC